TACCCCAAAGAACCCAACAACTTGACAAAGAAATTCACACTGTGATCTTTATAAAATTAATAACCATTTCTCAAAAGTTGCTATTCTTTTTTCTGACAACTTACCATGGTTTGGTGGAATTTCACATAATAATGTTCTGTAATCAGATCTAAGCCTGTCAATTGCACATTCTGAGCCACAAACTAATATAATCGAATTTTGTGGATTAAACCCAATGCCTGTCACAGTCAGGATTTGACCACCACCGAAGCTCCCTAGGGAAGACAAATAAAAGGAAAAAACAAAGCTAACTAAAAGAAAACCTTTTCTGCATACATATTTGTTGAACATTATCCTAAAATCTAACTTACTTCCTAAAAACAGAAGTTACGTTAAATAAAAAGGTTCTTAGAACTGAAATTATATTATGTTCTATTATTATATTAATGAAACAGAATCTCTTTTGATTGCAGTGTTTTAAAATTTTCACTGGTAAATGTCATATCTGGTAATTTATTTAAACTATTTCTAGGAACTAAAATTTTAGTTTAAAAAGATGTCACAAAGAATTTCGATGTAATCAAAACATACATGTAAAATTATTATTTTAATTGAGTACATTGGTTATATTTTTTAAGGTTTTTATTAAAATTATTTTCAAATAGAAAAAAGATACTAATTTATGTAGAAATAATTTCAAACCAGTGATGTCTAAATATGATTTTTAAAAAAATTTCCATGTATGATTGGTCATTTTAAGTAGGACTAAACTTTAAATAAATTATACACCACATTTAAAGGAAATATAAAGCATTATACTTTGAAATTTGATATTTTAAAATGATTACTATCCTTGCATGTTTATTTGTTTAATGCATAAAGATAAAAATATTTGCAGCATGCTATCAGTGGCTGAGGAAAATATTTTTTTCTAAATAAGTGTTTAACTGAAACAATAAAATATTTGTAGGTCCCTGTATATTCGTGACTACCTTGGCTTGGATGAATATTCTGAATATTAAGTGGATACTCGAATACCACTGTGGATACAGCAGAGCCTTTTGTCTTATGATGCATCATAACAGGGAAAGTGCCACCAGCATGATCTCCAATGACGCACTGCAACACACTGTCATTAACCATGGTTACATTACACTGGATGTTATTTATCATCACGGAAATTTCCAAGATCTCAATACCAAAGTTAGACCCAGTGATCTCAATTATAGTTCCTGGAGAACCTTAAAACAAACAAACAAACAATATAAATATATCTAAATTTCAATACTTACACATGCATTTAAAGATTTAAAGATATACTTCTTTACTTCTATAAATAAAAGAATATCCAAGTGTTTTAAAAATATGTGTCACATAAAACATTTTGACTATAATATATACTACAGTCTATTGTATATTAACAGTAAGTGAT